AAAAAAAAAAAAAAAAAAAAAAATCGATAAAAACGAAACATACAAATTGTGTGTTAATAATTATAAAACGCGGGATAATTTTTCGATATTGTTATATTTTGTCGACGATTGACGATAGCGCTGGTAATTTTCTCTGGGGGGGGGGGGCGGAACGGGGTATACCTATATATTATATTGTCAATATCTATATTATTATTATTATCATTATTATTATTATTATTATTATGTACGGAACTTGTGGATTTAACGTTTGTATATTGTTATTAATTATTATTATTATTATAAAATCAAATAATTTGTGTTCATTGATAAAAAAAAAAAAAAAATATTTTGTTGTACTGTTTTTTTTTTTTTTTTTTTTTTTTTTTTTTAAATTTTAGTTACATTATACATAATATTATTATTATTTTTTTTTTTTTCTATTAAAATAATAATGACGACGACACGATAATCTATATAATATGATACATATATTACGAAAATACGATGTTATTATTATTATTATTATCATCATTTTTATTATTATAAATGCCGTCAAATAATATTATTGTCATTCGTTTTACTCTGTACAAAAATATTATTTTTTAATCGATATATTTTATTATAATAATACAAAAACTTCTTCGAAGTGGTCAATTTTTGTACTAATAAAAATCACTGTTCTTTTATTTTTCACCGTCATATTATTTATCGTTTGATAAAACGTTATCGTATTGTATACGACAACGTGGACAATGGTTTTTACCCGACGGCGCGGTGTTCCGGGGACGTTTTCGACGTTCTGGACGTCTCCCCCCCCCCTGAACCCGTCGGTATGCATTTAGACAGTTAAATGACTCGACTGCAGTGGCGCTGAACCGTGTTTTAAGTAGGTAGACAGATAAAGCTGGAGTATAAATGTTCCATTGACCTTACGGACAAGAGTTACGACTCGGAGACAACTTTTCCAGTGCACATTGGCAACCCTTATTTGCCTGATGCGATCCTCGATTCGATTTCATTGTGCATACCGTTCCCGGCTATTTGTATATTAGTTCCTAGATATCTGAAATCCGTAATCCGCTGGTATACAAACCCGTCAACTTGTGCAAATCGGGTTCGTCTGCCACTCCTCTTGATACTGCAAGATGTTTTGTTTTTTCTCGGTTAATTCTTTAACCCACCGTTCTTTTATCGAGTCTGCGATTCTTTTTCTACTGTCCCTCGAGAGCTACGCTTTACCCCAATATCAACCGCGTATGCCAACATTATATTGCATTCCGAGATTTTCCATGCCCGGTCTCAATGGGAGAGACCTAACCACTTTTTCCAAAGCTAAACCGAGAAGAACAGGAAAACGTACATCGCCCTGTCTAAGGCTAGTCATAATTTCAAATATTTCAGATGATTCACTCGCGAGTTTTATTAGCAGTACGTTTCAGCGTTACATTCTCTTATCAGTTGGATTAACTTGGCTGGTATGTAAAATTCTTCCAGAGTCGTCCATATTTTTTTCTATTCTAATACTGTCCGTACGCCCGCTGAAAGCCCACAAACACATAGATGCACTTCTCTGCCACACTCGTAGTACATTTCCAAGAGCTACCTTACAATGAAAATCGGATTAGTGGTGGATATCCCTCACAGAAAACCACTTTAATAGTCGCCAATCACGTCGTTAGCATAGACTTTCAATTTTCGTAATATTACCATGGCCAGACGTTTATTTAATAGTGCGATGAAACAGCGTCACGAATTAGGCGCCTAATAGTGAAATCCCTCTATAGTCAGCTGCAATCATCGGGTCCCTCCTTTGGTGTACCGGGCGTATGATTGCGGTTTTCCAATCACTCGGCGGGACCATCCTCTTCTTGTTCTATATTTCCTTGACGAATGGCTCGAATGTTCTCGAATACTGATTCCGGAGCTGCTGTTTTAACCAGTTCAGCGTCGACGTTGTCTTTTCCCCGGGATTGTTATTGTTATTATTTATCTTTTCGTATTCAATGATAGTTTATTTACTTAATGCGTGCAGGCGATTAAAGTAGTCACGTGTATCACCTGAACAAAAAAAAAAAATCGCCTTTGTCTTCGAGACCGCTCTCTGTTAATAATTAAACAACTACTCTCGGGCGTCGAATGCGTAACAGTCGTGTTTTAATTACGAAACGGTCGGAAACTCTAAAGAAAACGTCTAGTTTTCGGGTAACGCGGAGAGGAAAACGATTGCGCGCCGGCGGTTGACGGGCGCGCGCTACACGAGCCGATTAACCGACGCGCGAACAATAATATCATTGTACTGTTATTTGTTTGTACCGTTCGACTCCTCGAAAACGGCCGGACCGACATTACGACCGGGCCGCGGATGTTGCGGAAACGTTCACCGGGCGTGCCGCGTTGCGACGTTTTGCAACGCGCGCCGTATCGACGGGAACGTTACGCGGACGGTCAATCGCCGCGGTCCATTCGCATAGACAAATAAAACGGCCAGCGACGCACGATGCGGTCCGGGCGCAAGGATCGTTAACAATATTGTCGTCCGGAACGTCCGTCGTTGGCCGCATCACGAGTGTGAACTTTATGGCCGATTATATATCGATATAAACGACATGCATATTTTTAGATTTCGAACGGAACGAGGAACGTCAATGATAAACAGGTTTTATTATAACGGTTTTTTTTTTTTTTTAATTTTTTTACGTGTCAATAAACGACTAGAACTCGATCGAAAACTTGACGGGAACTTTCTCGTAGCGCCGTTTTCGGTTCGATCGGCGCGTCGAGGATGTGCGCGCAGTCGTTATTCGGTTTGTAGTTTTGTAATTTCATTAACATAAATCGGAAACATTTTGTTGATTTCCGGACAAACGAATAGAAAAATACAACCGACAGTAATCTGCTCAACGTCGTTTCTCGTTAGTAACGGACTTCGTCGTCGCGTTTAGATATGTACGCTAAATCAGTCAATGATATTCCTCCCTCCCGACTCCTCTCCCGTGAACAGCGACCCGGTCATCAGCGGTGTCGGCCTGTTTTAAATCAGTTTTGTTATACTCGTTGTGTATGTTCGTGCCGTGTAAATAGTATTGGCGCCCGTCTCGAACGGAACGAAATAACGATAATACGTGTTATATATTGTCCGGTAATCGGATTTTTCGAACGTGATAATATCTATGTTTTGAATTCGGGGCAAAAGCCGGAGACGCCCGAGACGGCAATATAAAAGGTATATACATACACGGGGTAAAAATAACAAGCCGAATGGACAGTCGAATCCCCGCGGTTAAAGATAACACCTGAATAAACGGTAATCGAAAACCGTACATCGTGCACTGCAACTGCAGTACATATACTTACTATTCTGAAAAAAAAAACCCGATTGTTGTTTTTCGACCCAATCTCGCTCAAAAAAAAACACACACACACACACACACACAAATATCTTCGCTCTTAAAATCGTGAGATAACAAACTTAATGGCGTCCGTCTTAAAAAAAAATAATCCAGAGGTGGCGGGAGGGGGGAAGATCGTACGATTTAATTGTATTTGTCAACGCATAGTTAATAAGGTGTAAAAGCCTGGGGGAGTTCAATAAATATCTACGAGGTCTGGCTATTAAATAACGAGACTGCTTATGAAAAATGATTTTATTTTAAAAATTATTCCACAACCAAATGTTCCCCTTCAATATACTCTCCTCCCCTCTTCACACACCGTTTCATTCGTTTCTTCCATTGCTCGAGGCAGTGCTGGAAGTCTGTTTTCGTAAGACCATTCAGGAGTTCCGCCGATTTTTGTTTCACCTCTTCCATCGACTCAAACCGGATTCCTTTTNAGACTTTATCTTCGGAAACAAGTAAAAGTCGCAGGGTGCCAAGTCGGGTGAGTAAGACACGTGTTCGAGTACTGGAGTGCCTTAAGCGGCCAAATAACGCTTCACAGACAGCGCGTTATGGGCAGGTGCGTTATCCTGGTGCAGGATCCACGACTTGTTTTTCCACAATATCGACCGTTTCTTACGAACTCATTCGCGCAATGTTGCCAAAACTGTCAAATAGTAATGTTGGTTCACAGTTTGACTCTCTGGAACCCATTCAGTCATCACGGTGCCGTTGATATCGAAGAAAACGATCAGCGTGGTTTTGAATTTGGATTACGACTGAATTGGATTCCTGTGCACTCTCGACCTTCAGAAAATAATTTATGCCACTCAAAAACACGCGCCCGAGAAAGCAAATCCTCACTATAGGCCTCTTTTAACATTTTATAGCACTCAGTTGGAGTTTTTTTTAGTTTAACGAGAAAATTTTACGTTTATCCGTTGCTCGTGTTTTTCGTCACACTCGTTACACATCGTTTTCATCGCAAGAGAAAAAAAACATGTTCGTTTCTAAACGCTACAGAAAAAATACTAATGCACCAACAAAAATCCAATTTTGTACCGGCATAATAGACACTTCCAGCTAACCAGCGCTGTATTCGGTTTTCCCCTAACCTTTTTGGGACGCTCTCTGCGCGCGCAGTCTCGTTGTTTAATAGCCAAACCTCGTATCGACGCCCGTGACCCAAATGTACTTTCGAATATCATAACGCACTTAATTTTTGCCCGTATTTATATATAGTCACGTAATTTTTTTCTAAGCAGTTTTCACAGTGGCGCGGCGAACCCGCGAGCGTCGGTCAACGCGATACCGCACTCATAATCGGAGGAGAGTGACAGCCGGGGTGGGCGTTTGTCAGCACCTGCTTTGCTCGGGGTTCGGGTCGCGCGTTCGCCGTGCTGCGGGAACGGGACCGAGGGCCGCGAATTGGCCGCGCCCGCGATAACTCCGGAGAAATGTTTAATCACTCGTTACCGTGCGTGT